TGCCCTGGACTGGGAGGAAGAGGTGCTGGAAACAGGGTCTGGAATGGCGGGCGGTGAGCGGAGAGGCGGCAGAGCAGGTGCTGCCGCGAACCGAACAGCGGGAGGGGCTGTCTCAGCAACGGCTGTGTCCACACCTTCACACAGGCAGCACTGTCAGTCTGGCGACTTGGCAGGGACACAGCTGTGAGCCACAGGTGGGTGGAGGAGCAGGAGCACAGGGCAGGGGTGCGGGCCGCCCAATTCTTGAGTTTTTAAAATAATTTTCCCAGTGGCCGTGGTAGCTGAGGTGGCCTAGGTGGCAGGACTGCCGTGTTCAAGGTCAGCCTGAGTTACATGGTGAGGCCCTGTCTCAAAAAACAAAACAAAAATATTCTCCCCTATGAAACTATTACCAGCTCCAGGGACTAGTGGATATGACCTACAACGCGTAGCAGAGAACTACATATTCATGCTTTTGTAAAAGGATAAAGAAATCGAGGGCTGGGGATTTAGCTCAGCGGCATAAGCGCCTGCCTTGCAAGTGTGCAGTCGTGAGTTTGATCCCTGATACTGATAAAAAAAAATTTTTAAAAAGGATAAAGAAATCACAGAAGGCGTCTGCACAGAGGGTCACCCAGGAAACAGGAGTGGCCAGGTTGCTGCGTGACCTCAGGTGAGTCTTCATTGTCCTGGGACTCAGTTTCCCCATGCAAAATGCAAATCTAAAGCCCTGCGTGATGGTGCACGCCTGTGCAGGCTGAGGCAGGAGGATATTGTGAGTTTGGGACCACCCTGGGCTACAAAATGAGCTCAAAGCCAGCCTAAACTGCATAGCAAGACCCTGTCTCAAAAAGACCAAAAAAAAAAAACCTAGACTAAGAAAGCTCAATAGTTCTCAAACTCTGCCTGGCTCTGGTGACCTTTCCTTAGCAGAACTAAACGAGTGTGGATGAGTAGGGGTGCAAGGCCTGGACCCCAACAAGCTCATGACCCCATACCAGCCCCACCCCGAAGGGCTGTCTGCGGCACCTACCAGCCTGGAAGCATTCCACCCACCAGCCAACGTGGCTATGGGTCCTCTACATCTTTTTCTGGAGCCGGGTGGTTGAGACAGGGTTTCAGTATGCAGTTTAGGCTGGCCTGGAACTCACTGTAGTCCAGGCTGGTTTTGAACTCTTGGCAATTCTCAAGTGCTGGGATTACAGCAAAGAGTTCAGAATCATGTTTTGAAGTTGAAACTTCAGTTTGGATGGCTGAATTGGCACATTCAACCCAAGAAGAGACCAAAACTGCAGAAACACACTGCCATGAGAATACCTGGACCTTCCAAATAAAACTGGGCAACTCAGCGTGTGACACAAGTGCTCAGTTGTGTTCTCAGTCACGTCCCAGAGAGCTGGCTCAACAACTGCTGTCCTGTCCTCCCCTCTCCTCACCATGTCCTGGCTGTGGGGGTGCTGGGAATGTTACCACCAGCTCATCTGCTTCTTAATGTATCTACACACAGAAAACATCTTTAACATTACTTCCATCTAGTTCCTGTTTGAAACAGCAATAACAGATCCAACTTTACAGGCGTCACCTAACTTCTAGTGTGTGGCTTTGGCTTTCTTTTTCTTCTTTCTTTATGGGAACCAAGTATTGCAGTATTACCAAGAGATACCACATGAATTATAGAAAGGAAAAAAGACAAACATATTTATCTGTTCTTAATTATTAAATTCTCTGGATGAAATGTCAAAGTACACAGCATATAAACAGCCTTTCAAGACTGGGATGTTGACAGTAGAAAAGCAGCATCAGGGGCCCGCACTAACCACCGTTAGCCCTGGCCGTCAAGCTGCTGGCCAGGGGCCTTTCATCATCAAAGCCTCATTGTGTGGCGTCGCCTTTGCATCCACATTCAGCGCACTTCCCCAGCGCTGCTTGTGGGCAGAAACTCAGGTCTGAGGAAAGGGCTGAGATTTCCTGCATCCGTGTCTCGATGTCCAAACACCAGCTTCAGAGGCCTTTGTCCTGTCCTAGAAGCCACCTTGGGTGCCATCCAGGTCTAAGCTCCCTCAGGTCCCGAAGCGACTAATGGGGCTGGCCAGGCGCCCTGGGCCATCGCACACCCCTGGCCCATGACCCCAGGAGCCCTCTGCGACCTCATTCCAGAGGGAGGGGCTGATCAAAGTCACCTGCCTTTTCCCTGCTGTGTTCTGTGCATCCTTCAGCAGGTGAGAAAGTACCCACTGGGCAGGGAGCCACAAGTCCAGGCTTGGGACGGACTGAAAGGTTTAGGGGTGCAGTCAGAGTGACCTTCAGTGGTCGAGAAGGGAGCAGGCCCGGATGGGCAGGCCCTGGTGTCTAGTGTCCTATGCCAGCTATTGGGTGGACCTGCAGCAAATGGATACACCTTCTAGGTGACACTCTAGAAGTTGTGTGCACCAGTCCTTAGTTGTGGAAGGGGCATTTCCAAATGAAGGCCTCATGGTGCAGTCAGCTCCAGCCCTAAGTCCCCACGGCCTGTCTCCGAGTGCCATGGCAGTGACGCAGTTTCCCATTCCACAGGCAGTGCTGGCTGAACACCTGCTCTGCGGGGACTGACATCCCAGTGGAAGGACACAAATGAACTAACAGTGAAAAACACAGGATGCCAGGGTGCTGAGTGCTGTGGGAAGACAGAGCTAGGGGATGCTGGGATGGGAGGGAGGCCAGGGTCGCCTCCCCAAGGGGCCCTCCACATGCTGGGCAGAAGGCGCAGCCAGGCTGGCCAGCTGGGGGCCAGGAGGCGACAGGGCACAATCTCTAAGTTGCACTTGATGAGGATTTTTTTATTTTAAGATAATCTCACCATATAGCCCAGGTCTGGAACTCATTACGTAGCCAAAGCTGGCTTCAAACTCATGCCAATCATCCTGCCTCAGCCCCCCAGTCCTGGAATTACAGGCCTGCACCATCACTCCCTGCTTCAGCAAGAGCTAGGGCTTCTTGCTGGATCAGAGAAGACACCAGGCTCCATCCTGAGGTTTAACATTCCCTGACTGCCCTGACGCATACTCAGAAAGGCACCTTCCAGGGCTGCATGGAGAGCGGATGGGGCTGGGCAGATGGGAAAAGCCAGCAAGGGGCCAGTGGTGTGACAGTGGCCTGGCCCAGGGCTGTGTGAGGGGAGAGGCTGACTGTGCAGGGCCCAGGTCACCAATGGCAAAGCTGGCAGGACTTGCCAGGATGTGAGAATGAATACAGAAAAAGAAGCTAGAGACAACTCTCAGGGTTTGGGGGTTTTTGTTTTTCACTAAGTTCACAGAGGATAAAAAGGCTTTTCTGAACTATGAAAGCTTCAAAGCACTAGCCCACGGGGATATGTATGTGTGTGTATGTGTGTGTGTATGGGTGCACATGTGTGTACCTATGCGCATGCATGTATGTGTGTGTGCATGCATGTGTTTAGGGGCACATTACGGAGAGTGGGGGAACTGTGTCTTTGGTTTATGAAGTATCAGGTTTCTGCAGCTTGGCAGAAACCAAGCGATGACACTGGGCTACAGATGGTCTAAATGTCAGGAGCTTGGAACAGATTGGGCACCAAGAGCACCTGAGGCTGTGGCTGGACCAGCTCACCCAGGAGCCAGGTCAGAGGGCATCTGAGGACTCGCCTGGCTCTGCCAGGGGAGGCTGGGGAGGAGGGGAAGGAGAAGTGCAGAGAGGCCGAGAACCAGCAGCAGCAGAGTGACAGAGGCAGGAGTGCTGTCTAACAGAGCGCAGAGTGCAGGGAAGCACCAGGCGTCTGCCACGTCACAGCACTGACAGGAAGACAGGGCTTGAGAGCAGCCACTGGTTTAAAATGGGAGGTATATGGGGTGTGGTGGTGCATGCCGGCAATCCCAGCTCTCGGGAGGCTGAGACAGGAGGATCACTGCAAGTTTAAGGCCAGCCTAGGCTTTAAACATAGAGAGACCCCGCCTCAAAATACAAAACAAAAATATCTAAAATAAAAGTTTCTCTCTTTTGCTAACATAAGCCTTTCTCCTTATCAGTGGATTCCCGGTTATTTGTTGCATGTTAACAGCAATCTGACTAATACACATACTTTAACTACAGCTATTACTGAATTCATCATGAAAGCTTTCAACTTGCTTAGTACCCAATGAGTTCCCCTTCCAAATAGACTTGAATTTATTTTTTGCTACGTTTGGTTTTGTTTTTTGAAACAGTCTCAGTTTGTAGTTCAGGCTAGACTTGAACTCACTTTGTCACCAGGCTGGTCTCAAAATCATGGTGATCCTTCTCCCTCAGCCTCCCAAGTGCTGGGATTATAGGCATGTGCCACCACACCTGGCCCTGAACTTCTTAATAAAAAAAAAAAAATATATATATATATATACATATATATATATATATAAAAATGACACCCACATTTCTGAGTTAAACCGAAGATTCTAGTTGTCTTTTATAAAAAAAATTTTTTTTTTGCTGATACCAGGGATTGAACTCATGACCTCGCACTTGCCAGAGAGGCACTTACAACATTGAGCTAAATCCCCAGCCTCTAGTTGCCATTTTGCAGATGACTCTAGCACTCAGAGACGTTAAGAAACAAGTGCCAAGGCACATAGCCCATAGCAGATCTAAGCATCTGATCCAGGTTCTCAGACCTTTAGATTAGGCAGAAATGTAAAGGAGAAGGGCCTGACAACCAGGCCCTTTAGCTGTAGCTGAAAATTCCCAACAGGCCTTGGAAACACACCACTAGCTCCTCCCTCAGAGAACCTTACCTTTCCAGACAGCGGCTCACATGCACGTGCACTGGTAACTACTGGCAGGCCCTAATGTGCACGTGCTGCTCTGAAGTTTCCAAAGAAAACAGAAAACAGCTCTCAGGAGGACACACAGTCTAGAGATGAGAAAGGCCCCAGATGAAAAGCTCCTGGGTGCTCCAAAGTGCCCAGCTGCCAGGGGCTCCTGAGAGATGCTGCCCTTCACAGGCTGCACAGCCACAGTGTTGCCAAGTCAGTTTATTTCAGCTTGCTCCTTACCTGGCTCTGCATCCCAGGAGCAAGCAACAGCTCGGGGCTCCGAACAGCTCAGGCTGTCACCAGCCAGCCCAGCACTGGCTCTCCGCAGCTCATAGTCCCAGATGTCACTGGCCGAGGGCAGGTCCAGGGAACCGCTGTCCCCTGGCGGACTGTCCGCAGTAGCTGCCCGAGTGGCCATCACCCTGCAGTGGGGAGGAAAAGGCAACTCAGGACAGAAGGCTGCTCGGCCACAGCCGTCCCGGGGCCATGGAGCCGCAATCACACCTGAACCTCACTTCCCTGCTACGCACAGCGTGTGTTCCCCGGACCCGTGCATCTGCACGCCAGCTTCTCCTGCAGGAGGAGGATTCCTGCAAGTAAGAAAGTAGGAGGAATTTCAAGGGGAAAAGAGGCTCCACATCTGAACATCAGGACGACGGCTCATAGAGCCCTTCTGGGGTAAAGTACGGGGCAGAACTACTGTAACTCGGGGCTGAGAGTATCTGATGAGCCAAGCATGGGCCCACACCTGCAATCCCAGCATCGGGAGGCTGAGGCAGGAGGATCATAAGTTTGAGTCCAGCCTGGGCTACACAGCAAGCTCAAGACCAGCCTAGATCTCATTGTGAAACTCAAGCTAAATCAAATATTTGATAAAGAGGAAAAATTATTAAGTATAAAAAGGTTGAAAAATAATAGTGTTTGGTCAAGGTTTTATAAAATAAAATACTGTGTGTGTGTGTGTGTGTGTGTGTGTGTGTGTGTGTGTGTGTGAAATACAGGACATAAAGCCAGGGTGAACAGTCTGGAAGGGCTGAGGGTGTAGTTCAGCAATATGGTAGCAGGGAGTTTGCCTAGCACTCAAGGCCCTGCATTTCACTCCCAGCACTGCAAACAAAAAAAGGAAAGAAAGACAGAAAAAGTGGTGGAGCACATCTATAATCCCAGCACTTAGGAGGCTGAGGCAAAACAACTGCCCAAGTTTGAGGCCAACCTGGGCTACAGAGTGAGTTCAAGATCATATTACAAGGGCCAGGGCTTTAGCTCAGCAGCATAAGCATCTGCCTGGCAAGCTCGAGGTCATGAGTTTGATCCCCGGTACCACAAAAAAAAAAAAAAAAAAGGAAAAGACCAAACTACACTGCATAGCGATACCCTGTGTCAAAAAAAAAAATCTTGAACGATCTCAAAGGCAGATGTCTGAATGAACCAGTTTCAAACTCAGATGTATAAGCTTAACTATCACATGGTTTCTCTTACATGAGAAACCCAAATATAAATAGAGAGCAAAATAAAAGAACACAGCAAACAGCAGACAGGCCTTCCACAAAGGGCAGACCCAGAGGGGACGGAGGAGCAGGGCCTGGGAGGGAGACCTTCGAGGAACAGCCCCCCCACACCCTCGGGGAAGGCAATCAGTGAAGAGCCTGACAATGCAGCCCGGTAGGGTTCACCTGCAGCGCCACCCCCTGCCGGGGAGGGGACCCTGTCCCTGTGGGTGCTGCTGTTCACAGCGGACCCAGTCACAGAGGGAGGAGCGACACCCGGCCTAGCGGGTCCCCGCTGCCGGAGGACACATGGTCATGCGCGCGCGAAGTGGACGCGCACACGCCCGTGGCAGAAACGGGGCCTGGCCGGCAGCTCGATCCTGGGGCGAGGACGGTCAGCAGGGGGCGTGGCCCCTCCCTGTCACCTAACCCTCGGCAGGCTGCCCTCCAGGAAGGAGGGGACACATGGGGAACCAGCGGAAACAGCTACATCCTGCCTGTAGACGAGCGGCAGGAAATGCCAGGCGCCTCCTGGAGGCCTCTGCCGCCAAAAACCCCTTCTTGGGGCGCCAAGATAACCACCCGCGGGCGCCTCCGGGACCCAGGAGCTGCGTGCCAGCTCTGTCCTCCCATCTGCCGCGGGTGCCAGGGGATGCGACGGGGAGAGCGGCTGACAAAACTAAACTATAATAAACCAGTACCACAAAAATAAGGCAATCTGTTTAAACCTGAGACAGGGTGGGGTGCCATAGGGGAGGTGGCACAAGCCAGAAACCCCAGCACTCTACGAGGCCGAGGCAGGATGCCACAAAAATAAAATACAAAAATTTTAAGCAGTGGCTCCTCAGCCCCATCACTGATCTGCGGAAGGCCCTGAGCCTTTCCCTTCCAGCATCTTCCCCTTCCTCCCTTTAGGTCTCCACAAGTGCTCCTCCGGGCTTTCCTCCCGGGCTCCTCCCTACTTCAGGCCATTGGCCCTGAGGCAGGTCACTCAAAACTGCATCCCAAAACCCTGCATCCAAACTGCCAACCACGGCTGCACACAAGTGCAGTCCCAACACCTGGCGGGCTGAGGCAGGAGGGTCACTGGCCGGGCTCCATAGTGAGTTCAAGGTCAGCCTCAACTGCCTCAACCTGTCTCAACCTCCCCCAAAATTACAGTGACATCAAAACTAGGAAAACTTCACAACTACAGACAGGTGTTATGAGCACAGACATAAGAATCCTTGACAGGCATCTGAAATGAAGAGACACTTCTCAGATGAAGAACTAGAAATGGTAGGTAAATAAATGAAAAAATGCTCACCATCACTGGTCATTCACAAAATGCAAATTAAAACCCATGGCTATCCTCAAGAAATCAACCAGTAACAAATGCTGGAAGGGCTTTGGGGAAAGGAAGCCTTCTCCACTGTTGGTGGAAGTGCACACTGGGCCAACAACTGTGGAAATCAGTGTGCAGATTCCTCAAGAAACTAAAATTTAAGCTGGGCACAGTAGCACACTCTCGTAATCCCAGCACTTGGGAAGCTGAGGCAGGAGGCTCCTTGCAAGTTCAAGACCAGCCTGCGGTGCAAAGTGAGCCCAAGGCCAGCCTGAACTGCATAGAAAATCTAGTCAAAAAGACAAAAAAAGAATAAAAAAATTAAAACACAGATGTTCGATTTGACCCAACCAGTCTCCTTAATATCTCACTGTAAAAATTAAAGGCATCATACCATAGCGATACATGCACAACCATGTTTATAATAGTACAGTTTGTAATAGCTAAATCTTGGAAATGGTCCAAGGGCCCATTGAATGGATAAAGAAAATACGGTAAAGAAGATATGGGATTTTTTTTTTTATATACATCAGAGTAATGGGGTTGGGGGATACATAAACACAAAGTCCTGAATTTGATCCCTGGTCCTGGTATAAACACACACACACACACAATGGAGTACTACTCAGCAATAAAGAAGGATACACTTAAGATGTTTCTAGGTAAACAGATGGCACCTTGAGACTACACTCTTAAGTGAAATAAACGGGACACATATGAGTAAACACTGCATTATTTCTCTGGTGTGAAACACTGAAAGTGTGAATAAGGGTCAAAATGTGTAACAGGTATTGTGAAACAGGAAGAAAATGTTCAAATGGAGAGGGAAATAATGGAGGGGGAGGGGGAAGGAAAGAAGGAAAAAGTAAAACTGATGAAAGGGAAAATGGAAACAAAGCTTTATAAATGGGGAGGGAAGGAGGGCTGAAGGGAGGATAGTGGAATGGGAAAAAAGAGAAACAAGTTATATCGTGCACAGGTACAAATTCTCTATGGTGACTGTGAGAATATGTATATCCAAAATGTAAAAAAAAAAATCCTTGACAGAATACTAACAGCTAACACATAAAAAGGTCCAGGGGCTGATGCTGGGGCTCTGGGTTCAAGAACCAGCACCCCACCAGGAAGGGATGGGGAGAGGGGAGGGGAGAGAAGGGAGAGAGGATTATCCTTCCTGATTAGGGGGAACTAATTCCAGGAATTCCAAGCTGTCTCAGCATCTGAAACTCAATGTAACACACTAAGTCAGCAGAATAAACAAAATTCACAATAAACTGTACTCACTATGGTTGGCACCATAGTGTCCAACCTTTTGTCTGGACTGGGCTGCACTGAGTGAAAAGTAATCATTCGGAGCAGCATATAAAAGTATCCAAAACGGCCAGGTGTGGTGGCTCACACCTGTAATCCCAGCATTTGGGAGGCTGAGGCAGGGAGTTCACTGCAAGTCTGAGGGCAGCCTGGGTTCCCTAATGAGACCACTCTCAAGAAAAAAAAAAATTACAACCCGTGAAATCAAGATTATACAGTGCAGGAGACTTAGCTCAGCGGCACAGCACCTGCCTGGCAAGTGTGAGGTCCTGAGTTTGATTCCCAATACCAAGAGGAAAAAAAAAGATTGTACAGTACTGGCATAAGGCCAGACCGACAAGTCCAAAAGTAAAATCACACCAATAGGCAATTGATAAAGCAGTTTGGAAAGCAGCCCGGCAGCTCCTCAATCAATTAAACACAGCATTTACCCTTTGACCTGGCAATGCCACTCTCGTGTGCTAAAAAGAAAAATCTGGTCCAAATAATACCTGTAAACAGGGCTCCCGTCACAGCTGTTCTCAGAGTACACAAACCATGAAAGTAACCCTTACATCCGCCAAATGATTAACAGAAAAACCAGTGGCCCTTGCATTCCTGGAGCACTGCTCAGGAGGGACCCAGAGTGCCACAGGCTAGGCCTCGACAACAGTGTCTCAGTCAAGGTGACCGGCTAAAAGGTGACACGTGCTTGTCATCTCAGCACTGGGAACTCCGACCCAGCCTGGGCTACAGTGAGTTCAAAGCCAGCCTGCACACCCAGTGACCCTACCCCAAACAGGTCGCCAACAAAGCCAGTCACACGCTGTGGAATTGCATTTTATTGAATGTCCAAATTAGAATATCTACAGTGACTGCCTGAGACGTGAGGAGAGAGGAGACCCAGTCAATGCAAGGTGACATTGCTGGGGACTGGACCTCACCACATTCCTCTGGGTACAGCTGTTTTCTCTGCGGTGAAGAGAATATTCTAAAATTAGGCTGTAATGACCAATGTTCAGTACTGTAAATGTACCAAAGTTGGGGCAGGGCTTTGGCTCAGCAAACATAACTGCCTGCCTGGTACCATGAGTTTGATTCCAGGTACCAAAACAAAACAAAAAAGTACCAAAGTTTCCACTGTAGGCAAATTCTGTGTCTGAATAGAAATTTCTAAAGCAAGTTATTTTTAATTTAAAAATTTTTAAATTATATATATAGTTATGTTTTTGAGTCAGGATCTCGCTATGTAGTTCAAACTGGCCTTGAACGCACTACGTAGCGATCGAATCTGGCCTCGAATCTGCTGCCATCCTCCTGCCTCTGCTTCCCAAGTGCTGGGATTACAGCTGTGTGCCACCACGCCCCGCTAAGAAAGCTATTACAAAAAATAAGCAAAAAAAAAAAAAAAAAAAAGATATTAAAAGGATAAAATAACCGAAACGAATTCACACCCACCGCTGGTAAATTTTGGAGATTCCCCCAAGGGGAAGCTACGGCGGAGAGCGGGTCGTGTGGCCCGGCGGGCAATGTAAGTTGTCAGGAAAAACCGCCGTAAGTTCTCAACTGCCAAATATCAACCAGATGCACTCCTGAAACCCCCGCTCCCTATTTCCTCGCTCCCTTCCCAAAGTATTTGGCAAAGGGTGGAGAAAACCGCAGACAAAGCGTCCCAGCACAAATCCACTCACCGACCTACAACAGTAAGAGGCCGGAACCGGAAGCGAGGATGCCATCTTTGTTATGGGAAAAATAAAGTTTGAAAAGAAGCCACGAGAACCATCCTTAGTGTGGGCAGCCAACGCAAAGGAAAGCAGTGGCGGCCATGTTAATTCAGGGCATTTGCCCAATCTATGAAACTCGATGCGCAAGGCTAGTTTGAGCTGTTCCCAGTGGGAAGTTAATGGTTTGTGTGCTTGGTAACCAAGAGAACTGGCAAAATATTTTTTTAGAAATGTTAAAGTTAAATATGAACCTGAAAAAGTAGAGAGAGCAAGATGTGGTGACACAGCTTTGTAATCCCAGCACTTTCGAAGACTGAGGCATAAGAACCACAAGTCCAAGCACTAAGCTACTTCGCCACTTAAGTAAAACCCTTTCTCAAAATAAAAAAGAGTAGGGATGTAGCTATGCAAGAGGGCCTCTGTTCAATTTTAAATGCCCTCCCCAAAGAGAGAGAGATAATTAGGATGAAAATATTTTGATTCATGTAGGTATTCCAGTGTAGTGTAGAGCTAGCAGAACTGAAGAATCACCAAAAAAAGATAAGAAAAGAGATCATCAAAAATTAAAATTACAGCAAATTTAGCATAAGATGTAATACATGTTTTGAAGAGGCTGGGGATTTAGCTCAGCGGCATAAGCGCCTGCCTTGCAAGCGAATGGTCATGAGTTAGATCCCCAGTACTGAAAAAAAAAAATACATGTTTTGAAGAGCTAAACAGACAGGATTGGCTTTATAGGAAAGAAAGCAAAAATATATAACTAAAAATGGGGTTGTAGGCCAGGTATCATGGCACATGCCTATAATCCTAGCACTTGAGAAGCTGAAGAAGGAGGATTGCCAGAAGTTCAAGATCAGCCTGGACTACATAGCGGGTTCAAGGATAACCTAAACTACATAACAAGACTGTCTCTAAATAAATAAATTAAAAATGGTTTTTTTGATTCAATGTTGCAGCACTGACTTGGGTTTGGGGAATCGCCTCTCCCAGGTTAACCGGTGTGGCCCTTGGCTTGTGTGACTTCCTTCTGGTTTGCGGACAGCCTCCCATAAGCGGTGACTGGGCGGAGTGCCCTTCGTCCACTGCAGTCTTCTCCAGCAGAGTCCTGTCCCTGCCTAAATGTGAATGAGAGCCCATAAATTAGGAGTGTTACAATTTAGAGAAGTATTTAAATAGCATTACTTGGGGCTGGCCAGCTGTTACCAAATGGAGAGTCTTAGAGGAGTTATCTCTAGGTTCTTGGTATTCGGAAAAAGAGCTGAACAGGATCCTGAAAAGGAGTAAGAATAACAAGATTTATTAAAATTCAAATAGGCAACAAAATAAAAAGCAGCCACAGCACACCCCTCAGCGTGGGAGCAGGCCAAGGAGAAGAGTTCACAGCCCAGTGGGCAGCTGCTGGGTCTCTCTCGAAGTCCTGGGATAGAGGAGGATCCACACTGGGGCTGACAGGAGTCACTGCCCATGGTGGGGAGGGGAGTTTTTGAACATTAAATTTTTTTTTTTTTTTTTTTTTGTCTTTTTCGTTTTTATCGGTACCGGGGACCGAACTCACGACTGCCTGCTTGCAAGGCAGGTGCTTATGCCGCTGAGCTAAATCCCCAGCCCCTGAACATTAAATTTTTAAAAAATAGTTATTAGTGTATGGAAGGCTCGAATCTGACCTGACTCTCCCAACCACCAACAGAAGCATTGTTCTCAGCAGGGAACTCGGCCCAGCACCACTGCTGTCATGGGCAAGCCCAGGATGTCATAAAGGAGAACAGAGAAGACAAGGAATCTTGCAGGTCTCGGGACACCTGGAGACACCCAAATATTTTGGTGCTTCACACGGGGTGCTTCAAGGGCTTTGACCACTGAGGTGCAAGAGAAGCAGAGAACTCTGGTGACAGATGTTTATTAAAATTTTCCCACCTCATGTCCCCTGTCTCCTCTCTTCCCTTATAAAAGTAGCACATTTCTCTTTGTTCCCTACAGATAACCTGATCACTCTCTGCCTGCCTGTATCCAGGCACAATAAATTGCACGCTATGTTGCCTTTACACACACCTGGTAGTCTCACTGGTCTCTGGGTATTAATGTCTGTCATACATGGAGACTACATTCAGCTGGGGAGACTGATACATATCTGCTTGCATATTGACTATTTACACTCCCCCTGTGGCCCCCAACTCATCCTCCTTTCCCAAATCCCCTTCCCATCTCTATAGTGTGCTTCTCTATTTCTTACTGTGCCTTTATCATTTTACTCTTTTAATTATTTATTGTTTGGGTCTTTCATATTAGAGAAAGTGTACAATATTTAACCTTCTGTGACTGACTTATTTCACTTAGTATTAGGGTCTCACAATTCACACATTTTCCTACACATTATTCAAACATATTCCTTATGGCAGAGTAGTATTCCCTTGTGTGTAAATACCACTTTCTTTCATCTGTTGATGGGTATATAAGTCATTTCCCTGACTTAGCTATTATGAATTATGCTGCTACGAACATGCATATGTGTGTATTACTATTATCTGAAGACTTTAGTTCTTTTGGAACACATCCACTAAAGGTATAGCTGGATCAAATGCAATTTCTATTTTCATTTTGTGAGAAATCTCCAAACTGAGTTCCACAGCAGTTGTACTAACATATACCCATCAATAATGTAGAAAGATTTCTTTTCCCTCACAACCATTCTTATTAAAGTAAGATGAAATCTAAGTGTTCTTTTGATTTGTATTTCTCTAGTAGCCAAAGATGCTGAACATTTTTCATGTATTTATTGACCATTGTACCTCTTCAGTAAGTGTGTATTCACTTCAATTGCCCATTTTTTGATTGAATTTTTACTTTTAGGGATATAATTTTTTTAGTTCTGTGTATATTCCTTTAGTTCTGTGTAATGAATAGCTGGCAATAATTTTTCCCATTCTGTACATGATTTATCTCTTTACTCTGTTGGTTGTTTTCTTTGCTGGACAGAAGCTTTTTAATTTATTTGTGTTTTGTTTTGTTTTGTTTTTATTTTGTTTTTTAAGAGAGGTTCTCCCTATGCAGTTCAGGTTAGCCTTGAACTCACGATGTAGCCCAGGCTAGCCTCAAACTCATGGTGATCCTCTTGCCTCAGCCTTCAAAGTACTAGAATTATAGCCGTGTGTCACTTTACCTAACGCACAGCTTTTTAACATAGTATAATCTCTTTTGTTGATATTTAGTATTATTTCATGTGCAGTTGGGGATTTTGTTCAGGAAGTCCTTGCCTATGGCTTTGTCTCCAAGAAGCTTACCACCAATTGTAGTGCTGCATGACTATAATCCTAGAATTTGGGAGGCTGAGGCAGGAAGATCACTGTGAGTTTGAGCCAGGCCTAGGTTACACTGAATTCAAGTCAGCCTGAACTACATCGTGAAACCCTGTCTCGAAAAACAAAAACAAAATCAAAACTAAAGTTTTACCAACTTACTTTCTTCCAGCACAGTCTGTGTTTCTGTTTTTATACATAGGTTTTTGATTCAACATGATTAGATTTTAGTACAGGGTGAGCTGGGCATGGTGGCAAATTCCTACAATCCTAGCACTCAGAACACTGAGACAGGAGGTTTGCTGTGACTTCAAGGCCAGACCGGGCTAAGTAGTGAGTTCAAGGGCAGCCTGAACTGTATAGCAATACCCTGTGTCAAAATAACAAATAAAAACATTTTCATACAGGTGACAGATAGGGATCAAGATTTTTTTCTCCCACATATGGATAACCAGTTTTCCCAGCATCATTTATTCAAGAGGTTGTCTTTTCTTCACCATATCTTTCTGGCCTCTTTGTCAAGCATCAGATGGTTGAAGGTGTTGGGGTTGTTTCTGCATTTTCTACTTGATTCCTTTGGCCCACATGTTTATTTCTTTTTTTTTTTTTTTTTTTAAGGACTGGAGAGCGCCCACAGGTCTCGAACCACCGGACTAATGGACCTGGATGGTGGGAAGCCAGACTCGAAGGAACCGCTGGGCTAAAGCCAGCCCAACCCACATGTTGGTGCCGTGCTGTTTCTGCATCAAAGCTTGGCTGCCTTCCTTACTCTTGCTGCTCGTGGTGGCTTTGGCTGTTCTGGGTCTCTATTGGTTTCATAGAAATTTTGCAATTATTTTTTCTGTTCTGTGAAAAAAGCTGATGGTATTTTGATGGAAATTGCATTGCATAAATATACCATTTTTGTGTCTGCCTGGCAAGCACAAGGTCCTGAGTTCAATTCTCGGTACCAAAACAAAAAAAAAATGTCATTATAAATATCCTATTTTGGGTCATATGGCCATTTTGATGACATTAGTTCTTGGGGCTGGGGATTTAGCTCAGCGGCATAAGTGCCTGCCTTGCAAGCAGGCAGTCGTGAGTTCGATCCCTGGTACCGATAAAAAGGAAAAAGACAAAAAAAAAAAAAAACAGCAACGACATTAGTTCTTGCAGTGACCATGTGAGGTTTTTAGCGAAAGTGTTACAGTGCTCAAAGCACAGCATAAAAAACAGCCACAGTGTTTGCACTGAGGTTGGACACAGGCCATGGTCACACATTTTTGGTTTTGCAGATGCTGGGAGTCTTTAGGGGAACCAGATGCTATTTATATTCACTGGTTTCCTGATACTATGATAGTCACCTTACCCCACCTGGCTTCTTGTTTCTTTGTACCATGGCATACTGTGTATATGTCCTCAGTTTCTCCCAGAGACACACGATTCCTTACAATTCACTGTGGGTTGTTGCAAGCAGATGGCCTCAGTGTTTCTGAACGATTTCCTCCTGAGAGTGGACAGAGTCCCACCTGTGTGGAAATCTCAGAATAGGTCAACGGAGAAGTAGAGGCTGCAGGGTCAGATGGGAGCCATTGTTAACCCACAAGGGTCTGAAGGTGGTGTGGACTAATGCTTGGATCTAGAAGAGAAGATTTGTGGATGTTTGTTAAATAGATAAAGCCTGAAAGAACAAGCAAAAAAAAATTAATACAAGCACTGTATAAAC